CGTTGCGCAGTGCTTTCACGCGCACCCTTTGCACGCGCCATTTCGCTCGCAAGTGGATTCGGGGTTCGGCGGAAACAGGTTTGTGGGCAAGCTTCCCTGTTTGGGCAAGCTGCGCTCAACGATTGCAGCTATTTCTTCCTCGCAGTTCCCCCGGCGCAAGTTTGTCAAGGCTTGGAAGAGCAAACTTAGTGGCTCTCGTTTACAGGCAAGGAGTGGAACTCCCTTTGCCTACTTCTTCCCCATCCCAAAGATTTTTGGAATCGTTTGAGTGTAGCGGGCTTTGAAGGTCACAGCAGTTCAGGCTGCTGCTGCGTCGCATGCCTTGGAGCTGGCTTCCTCTGCCACACTGTTGCCCAAGCCTGTGGCACCGAAGTTTCCCTCACACCTGTGTGGTTGGGGAAACACACCTTGGAGACCTTGGCGCTCTCTTGTGCACCAGCATCCACTTTTTTTGCGGCATGGCGGAGGCTTCAGAAGCGATGGTGCGGAGCGTGTTGGAGATCAAGCATTCAGGTTGAAGTGGCTCAGAGGTTGGCAAGGTGCCGCAAGCGTATTCGCCAATTTCGCCGCCCCAACGCAGACCACACGTTGTGTTCGCTTCCGCGAAAGCTTGGGGGGCCAGAAAAGCAAGCCTTGTTTCTTCTCTTGACACCATTTGGCGCAACTTAAGCAAGGCCGGTGGCGCCAGCGTGCAGGCACTGACAGCTTGCTCAGCCGAAAAGGCAACCTTTGAGCAGGCTGCTTCGTGATAGCTCTGGCGAGCTCCGGCGCTTTGCCCGCTGAGAAGGCTTTGCTGGAGGGTGTGCTGACAAAGACCCCACGCGGGAGCACATTGCCCAAAATAACTTGCCCCAACCTCGAGTCGTGAGCTGTGAGCGTTGTTTCTTTGCCCCCTGAAAGTCGGCGCGCCGAACGCGCCCTGGGGTAGTAGCCTTGCACGCTGCTTGCGCTCTGCTTTCGAATACCTTGGAGGCGGACGTGTGGTCGCCTATTATCTGTCAGACCGGCTATCAAAGGCAAACAGTTCAGCAAGCTCTCCAGGTTCCGCGGAATCGTCGCAATCTTGAACAAGAGGGCGCAACAGCAGAAAGGACGGCCGAGTGCTGACATTTGACCGTGTGCGGTTCCGCATGTTTCGCGATTTCAATCAGAGTCTTGCTCTCGAGACCCACGCCATCTTAACAGAGGTGTCGCTGGGTTCACCTTGCGCTCTTTGGTTAGCCGAACAGACAGCAATGAACGTTGTGAAGAACATGGGTCCCGAGGCCAAACGGCTCGCAAAGGAAGAGTTACACGCAGCACAAAGACCGCAAAGAAAGCCAAAGCTGCGATCTCGCGCGGCAGCCTTGGCCGATTCTGGCACTACGCCAGCATTCTCAAGTCGGCTTGTTTTCCTACAGGCCCCTCGCTTTGTTTTGCTTCTTGAATGCGGCCTGGAATGGTTGGAAAAGCTGACTGTGCGTCATGTCGGACTTTGAGGCTCGAGGCTGTGTGGGAAAGCGTTCTTCGTCAGATTATGTCTGCTCTCGCGTTAAGCGCTGTGTGTTGTGGAATGCGGAAAGCAATGCAGTGGAGTCGTTTCCTCTGTGGAGTTGGCTGCTTCGAGCAATCGCACCATGCGCCGACGTTCCCGACGTTTTGAACGTTGCGAATTCAATCAACGAAGCGCGTGCTCTCAAGGTGCAGATATCTAAGTCACCGAAAGATCCACAAGCTGATGCTTCCGACGTTTCGGAAGATGTTCTCTGTATTCT